CTTCTGCCGCTTCGGCATACCTCGAGAGTTGCACAGTGACCAAGGCCGTAACTTCGAGTCTCACCTACTGAAAGAAGTTTTGCAACGCCTGGGAGTGAGCAAGACGTGCACCACACCCCTGCACCCACAGTCGGATGGCATGGTGGAACGCTACGTCAAGACCATCGAGGAGCACTTGTGGAAGGTCGTCTCATCGCACCAAAGGGACTGGGATGAGAGGTTACCCCTCTTTCTCCTAGCTTACAGGGCACAATAATGTGTTTCCACATTATTGTTAATTTTGAAATTGTGGCATCCCGGGTGTTGCAAATCTGTTTCCAGAACTGACACAGTGTCTGGGAGGTCAAACTAATTACAATATGGAAATAGCAGTATAAGTTTCTGAAAGACCAGGACATTGACTTCTGTCTACAGTGATAGAGGGGGCACGTGGTAGCTTAGTTGGTTGAGGGGCTATGCTACAAACCAGAAGGTCATGGGTTCAAGTCCCAATGAGGTCATTGGATTTTTTCAGTTGACCTAATCCTTCCAGCCGCACTATGGCCCTGGGGTTCACTCAGCCTCTAACAGAAATGAGTACTAGGAATTAATTAAAGAATTTTCCTGGGGAGTAAAGCGCGGCTGATGCATAAGGCTGACAACCTTACCGCCATCTTTGAGCCGATTGTCTAGATAATGTGGGACCTTCAACGTCTCACAACCCTATGGTCCTTCACGGCCTGTTACAGTGATAGCTTTACATTTTTTGTTTCACTTTTACTACAGTGCTAGAGGAACTCATCTTGTAGTATGATGAATGTGCAAGTCTTTGCAAGGTCTACACAGAAGAATAGATATAGGTTGTACTGTATATTATTCATATCAAAGTTTCATTTAATCATTTCAAGATACATACCCTGTAAACTTCATTTCCTGACCACCCATCATAAACATGTTTCTTTTTATAGGGATGATCTGACTGGAGCAGTGGAACAATTTGAGTGGTGTTGCCAGAAATATCGAGCCACGCCATGGAAGAATGAACTGGCATGCAGAATGATTCAGGCAGAAGATGCTGTGTCCCTCCAGAAACTTACAGACCTCAGTACCCAGGTCCATGGAGAAGTAAACAGCCTATACGATTTGGTGTTTGCTTTTGTTGAGTGCGGTAGAATTCGTCAGGCACGCAAGATATTGGAGGTATGTTTCTGCTAGTTTTTATACTTTGTTCTCTTTGATATATTTTGACCCAGTATTTCCCAAGTTTCTCAACAGTGTAGCATGTAAATATATATATATATATATATATATATAATTATGAACTCCAGCATGCGGGCATGTGAGTACGCATGTGTGCTCACTTGAATTTTTCTTGCACTCACAGAGGATATGGACCTCTGGTACAGTGTTGAAATAAAAGATGTACAACATGACTGATAAATTGATTGTTCTCCTGTAATAGCAGGTTTAGAATTATATTTTCCAAACTTTTCTTATGGAAAGAAAGTAGAGGAAGGAGGAAGGAAGGGAGTAGGAAATGGTAGGACGGAGAAGTAAAATTAAAGAGATAAAGGATAGCAAGAAAGGAATTGAAGGATGAAGATACAAAAGAAATGGTTTTCCTTAAGAGACGAAAGATGTGCACATGAAGCCAGTTTAATTCTGTTTCTCTCTAAATGACTCTAATAGTATTACAGTGAAGAATGCCATCTTCTGGGATGTGGTGCTGTGCCTACGCTGGTTCCTCACTCACAGATTTTTATACCATGAAGGTGGAGGTGACACGTTCCTCCAAAACGCCGGTTTACACAATATGTACACGGCGCCACATATCAGAAGACTGCATTCTTCATAGTCGTCACTGTGAAAACCTCAAATCTTACATAGTATTACAGTTTATCGTTCAACACTAGATTGTGTTTGTAGTTGATACAGTCCACCTAAAAATGTTTTACTCATAAAAGAAGTTTAATCTGTAAATAGTAACACTGATGATTTTGAGGTTCTTACAGCTGTGGTTATAAAGAGTTCTATTTTCTTTGATATAATGCCATGCAGGCTGCTGGCCCAGTGGTGAACCCATTTCAGTGGGCCACTTAGGCCTGGGCACACTCCCTTTATCAACTCTTATTTTTAAGGTCTTCTCTTGCACGGTATTTCTAGGCATTGTATGAAATGTTTATTCTGTGGCATCCACCTCAGAATTTTTCATGGTCTCTGGGTTGGCATAATTGAACCTAGTGATTAGTACATACAAAGGAATTGATGCAAATTTATTTAGTAGCTTCTCCATAGTTTTCCATTTTCTATTGCAAACTTCTCTCGTCATCCCTTTTCCAGTCGTGTTCAGATAGTGTAACCCCATTTTTGCTCATACCAGTATTATTTTATAAAATATGATTATTTTTACATTATTTATCATTGGAGCTGCAACTAATATGTGAAAGAAATACTGTCTTTATGTATACCATGTTCAGAGCGCAGGCTGATTGGACATTGATACTACCATCACCATCATACATCTAGTAAGCCTGCACAATGAACACTCGGTATTATACAATGTGTTGAGCATGAACAAGTTTTAACTCTCCCACAGATAATTCTGAGACACAAGAGGGAAATACAGTCACTAATGCTGGAGTTTATGTAGTGTTTATGTCAGGAGGTGATTAATCTGTCTTTTTGGGTTCAAGTCTGTGGCCGAAACATGTAGTGTGTAAAAAGAGCAAAACGAAAGACCTATAATATATAGTTTGCACTTAGGATGGAGTTATATCATATATCGTATAGAGTGCAACAGGATGCTTAAATATAATATTGTTCAAGTTTAATGCCATATAATTCTTTCATCAGTGATTCTCTAAGTCTTCAATCCAGTCAGTACTAATTTCTATTTTTATCTAATTTGTTTTTGTAAACTGTGCTAGACTCCTGGATTACGCAGCCGACCTCAGCGACTTAACTCAGCATGTGAGCGTTACCAGCAGGAAGGAAAATTGGCTCCACTTGAGGGCTTAGTTGAAGCCACTCGTGATATGTCTCACATAGATCGCTCTGATATCTACTACCATCTTCTGCTTTCATACTGTAAGTTACTTCCACTATCAGTAAGGTAAATTTGTGTTTTCCTTTGTACTGAGTCTTTAATAGACTTTTAATTTATTTTTATTTACCAGACATGTGCTTTAAAAATGCAGAAAATATCAGATAGAAATGTTTATTATGAAAAGTGTGCTGTTGAACTGATACATATTGAATGTTTTCTATCTTGCTTTTTTGTTAAAACAGAATGTTTTGGAAACTGGCAGTGTTTTTTTTAATGTCGTATATTGGTAATCCTGCTATGCTTACTCTTTATCTCTATGGTCACCCAAAAACCCTGGCCTTCTGTATGACAGATGCCTGTTCTTCTGTATTATTAATTACCTTTTCCTCCATCAGTTCACTTTTAGCACTCAGAAATCATTCTCTGCATCTTCCAGCCATCTCAGTCTGGACCTTTCTAATTTTACTTTCCAGCTCACTTCAAAAAAATTTTCTTAGCCATCTTTGTTTGATCCAGTCTAATCACATACCCCAGACACTCCAACTTTTCCTTTTAATATCTACCATCAGATCAGTGGTTTAATTTTACCTGTTTTATTGTTTCCTCCATTTGCTGTTTTATGTGGTGGTATTTCTTATTGTATTGTAAGATAGACTGATAGCTGTTTCCCCACCCCAAGTTTCAAGCTGTCTGAACCTTCTAGTAATAATATGTGTTCATCATAATTCTACTTATATTCATGATCGTACCTTTTCTTGAAAAATTTGTTTTTCATTGTGTACTCAGTATTTGAACATTGATGTTTGTCATTTGGTATGAAGGATTCATAACCTCTCTGCTTTAATATTGTATATGTTATATCTGCTATGTAATGATGAACCTATTGTTCTATACAGAGTGGATCTGAAATATATGGACAAGCTTTGGGGATATGGGTCTGCAGAAGCTTGCTTTCTTTGTTACAGCCCAGCAAACTTAGTGACTATGTCAACTGATATTCTCAACTTGGTGCCTCTTAACTTCCTTACAGGGTAGTAAAAGCCTGCCATAGGCCTATATTTGACCTTCAGACACATTCTTAATGCCATTACAGGTGTCACAGGTTACAGTACGATTTTAGCAGTTGAACAGTTCTTGGTTGGGTGTAATACATGTGTGTAGTGGCAAACTGTATAAGCAAAAGTGCTGCAGTACATACTGTGAAATTGTAAATTTCTTATACTGTATTATCAACACTACAGTATGGAAAGATATCAGTTTAGTGAACTGGTATACACGAATTTTATATATGGTTCATGCAAGTGACAGATGTTGAGGAGCAACATGCCTCTACCAGGAAACATGCCCAGAACAAAGCCATCCAAACCATAAAGTATTTCCCACTGATGATTTTCAGCTTACAGGGGATGGAACATTTAAGCCTTTTGCTGTCAAGCGGTGAAGGGAGAGATCCACCCAGACACTTGACATTGAGGAGTGTGTCCTGCAATTTGTTGAAGAGAATCTGGGGTTAGCATGAGTCAGCAAGTGACTACTGCATGACCAGTTGCTGTGCACATACATTTACAGCAAGGACTGGGTCTCAAGCCCGCCAGGTCTCCTCAGCACAAGAGACTTTGTGTCGGTGGTTTGTTCACCGTTGCACTGAGCCAATCTTTCTTATGTCACTGATGTTTTCAGATGAGGCAGGTTTTGGTAAAGATGGCATCATAAATTTTCACAGCCACTGCCAGTGATCAAAGTACAGTCCTTATGGTGTACTTCAGTCTAGACACCAACAAAAGTTTAGCATTGATGTTTAGGCAAATATTGTTAGTAGGCCTGCATGTTTTGCCATGTTGGCCTATAGGCAAGCTCTTCTGAGATTTCCTGTTGAATGATTTGCTTGATCTGCTAGATGTACCACTGGCAGTCAGAGAACTCATGTTGTAGAATCTTGATGGTGTGCCTGCACTTTTCAGCGATGTTTTGCAAGATTTCCTCAAGAGTACCTATCATAACCAATGGATAGGTAGAGAAGGATCCACTGCATGGCCTCCATGCTGACCTGATTTGAATCATCTGGATTTCTAATGTAGGGGCACTCAAAACCCTTTGTGTGTTGAGCTGCTGTTCACAACATAGATACACTTAATGCATGCACCATGTCTCCCCATTGTTAGTCTTTTCTGTGACCAGTGTTATGTATTTCTAACCATAGCACAACAGCTGGAATTTCTTTTGCATAATGTGTGTTAATTTTGTGATGGATTTCCTTAGGCAAATCAGAGGATCCTGATAAGGCTCTTGGGTTGTGGACTAGAATGCAAGAAGAGGATGTTCAGCCATCAGATCAGTTTCTGTCAACTCTGGGCACTTTTCTGAAAAGTAAAGGAAAGGAAGTGCCATTTGTTATCCCAGAAGTCGTACTGGCCACAGAGGTTCGGAAAGGCAGAGGAGAAGGCCACGAAGCTGAAGCCAGTGGGGCTACATTAACAGCAACACAGAATTTCAGACAGGCTCTACGCAGAAATGATCTTGATGATGCACTTATACACAAGCACACGTAAGATTTTATTAGCAGGAATTAACCAACTAAACTTTTAGAGCAAATTTATTTAATGAAATACTTTTCTTTTTTTTTAAGTCAGAACCAAGGCTTAAAAGTCCAAGTCCAAGTCATGTTATAACTGGTGTCAAACCCATTTTGGGGTTCATGATCAGATTACACAATCTCTCTTGGCAGTTCTGGTCATCATGGGGCATCCTCTCTGGTGAAAGGATTAGTATTTCCCTTGTCTTTGTCAACTATTCACTTGTTTGTAGTAAGTGACAGTCTGATTTTAGGGATCCACATATTAGTTTTTTTGTGTGGTTTTTTTTTGCATTGAAGGTGCATTCTTAATGGTCCCAATCAAAGGTCTGTTTGCCAGATGCATTATTTCCACGATTTAAGGCTTTACCTGTATTTTTCATACAAAAGTTCAGTTCCTACACATGGTTCAAAACTCATTTTAGCGTTAAAGAGAATTTCTTTACATTTTCCACTGTTCTTAGTTCAAGGTCATCATTTGCATGGCTGTCTCTGGCCATTCTTTATCCCCTGTGTCAGCTGGAAATTTTGTGTTGCATCTTAGTGTTGCAATCATTGTGAAAGTGACTTTGAAACAATGAATGGCCATGGCATTGAAAAGAAAGAAGTTAACAATAAGTGAGAGAGTGAAAATTATTAAGGAGGTAGGAAAGAGTCCAGCTGTGTTCCAAAATGGAGATGCTGTCTCCATCATCTTGGAGTAATATAATTCTACAGAAAGTTCAGTTCTTGAAGAGGAAATCTAGCATGAGACACTTTCTGAGAAAGTAAAAACTTTTATTTTATTAGATGAACAAGGTTTGGTGCCTTATTGTTGATTTAACTGAGTATAATAGTCATTTTAGGCTGTTTTCCAAACCCGCCATTTAAGGCACAAGAAGCTTGGCTCCCAGACAAACTTTCAGTCAGTTTCACTGTATTTGCAGTTTTATGCATGTAATTTATAAATAATGATAATGTGTATGCAACATGTAGTGGAACTTTGACTTCACTCTTAGACTTTCACAAGGAAAGCACAAATGTGGTGGTATCACTGTTGTGTGTTGACAGTCTCACATATATAGTCCCATCACAAAATTTATACTCGTTAATATGTTAACAGGTTAGTATCAGGTTGTATTTAACCCTTCAATGCAGACATTTAAATGTTCTACTATTATTGCAGTAGTATTTTTTGAACATGTCATTAATTTTTTACATTGACATATTTAAGCCTTTATAACTAATTATACGAGGGTAAGTCAATAAGTAAGTTACAAACGGATATAGAACTTAAACAAATAAGAGGAATTATTTGAAAAATGTTTTTATTTCTCAACATAATCTCCCAGTACATTGAGGCACTTGTCCCATCATTTCACAAGCCCCTGAAAACCAGCAGCATACAGTTCTTTGGGTTGCTGTCGGAACCAGGCAGTGACTTCCCTTTCTAAAGTTTCATCATCAGGAAAATGTTCCGCCGAAAGATGATGTTTAAGAGGGCCGAACAAATGGAAGTCACTTGGAGCAAGACTCATCGCCTGTGACAGTTCGGGCTAGCATATCGTGTCCTTCATCGTGGTAGCGATTGAGATACTGTAATGCCAGACCTATTCTTTGCATTTTGTGTTGTGGGGTTAGCATGTGCGGCACCCATTGTGCACAGACTTTGTGAAAACCTAACCTGTCATGCATTATGAGGTAGGCCATGCCATGTGAACATACCTGGTTCCATGCCTCGGGTGGGATTCGAACCCACGATCCAGCATTCGCGAGAGCAAAGACAGTACATGCCTTAGATGGCGCNTGGTTTTCAGGGGCTTGTGAAACAATGGGACAAGTGCCTCAATGTACAGGGAGATTATGTTGAGAAATAAAAGCATTTTTCAAATTAGTACTCTTATTTGTTTAAGTTCTATATCCATTTGTAACTTACTTATTGACTTACCTACATATATATGAGATATGTGTAATTTCTTCACACAGCTGAACAAATTACGATACTCATAGTTTGCCATACTAACTGAACATCCTGTTTATCTGTGAAGAAAGCAACCAGATTAGAAGTGGAGATTTGTGTGATAGCTCTTGAAACACCAATCCAATTACAGACCTGCTTCACATTCACACCAGTAAATTGTTTTTGTTTTCCATGTTTTATGCACATGACACATCTCCACCATGGCTTAGACTTTTTTTTTTCATGTCATGGGAATTCAGGCCATAAAATGACACTCAGTTCAGTTGAAGGTCTGCCATATCTGGAGTGAGGGACAGCAGACCCATGTTTCTGTACAAGACTTATTAGAGGGCACCTGAATTTCAGAAGGTCTGTTTCTTTATTGTTTGACAGTGACCAGTACATTATAGAATTATGGATAGCTACATCGAGTAAACTTTTGGAATCATTTTAAATACCATATAGAACTTTTCTTTCACTCAAGCAAATAAAGTTGTTCTTTGAGATCAGTTGCTCCCATATTCTGATTGCAGTTGCATACAGTTGTAGATTTGTCACTTCTGTGTTTCATTTATATACTTCGGAATGAATTTCATATTTGAAACCTTAGAAACCTTCTTATCCTGTCGGGTATATGCTCATACATCCCCTGAATGCTGACCACAGTGCTATCCCTTTTTCAGTCTTTCATCCTTTATGGGGGGAGGGGGCATTTTCTCCTATTGCTACATAAAGTGCCTGCACAGTCAGCACCTTAAGATTTCAAGACTTGCATCAACTTGGGACAATTATAAAAGTTGTCCATACAGTGTGCCCATGATGACAAAGATGATCCCCTAGCTGGATGGCAATTACTGATGTTTTGTTTGTGTCTGCATTCACATGCTGGTTCTTTGTTCCATGCCATGCCCTGTGTAAATAAGGAAACACCACACATAGCATATGCTAGATTCATGGTATTTGAATGGCCATACCAAATTTTGTAAACATCAGTGGTGTGTATTGTGTGAGCAATAGGTAGTTCTTCCATAGAGTCAAAGATTCGTCTACTGCTATATTCTTCTTTGGAAGGTACAGATTTTGAAATTTATTATTCAGATGTTAAGTAGTTAGGTACACCATAGCTCAAGCAGTTAGTTGCTGGCTTCCCACTGTGGCTGCCCGGGTTCGATCCTGGGTCTGGTCAAGTGGGATTTGTGGTGGACAAAGTGGCGCTGGGGCGGGATTTTCCCGAGTACTTCGGTTTCCCCCGCCAATCTTCATTCCACCAAATTCTCCATCATCATAATCACCTGGGGCAGGCTACAATAGGCGAATTAGTGGCTGCCGTGCCGAGTGGCCCCAGTTGGACTCAACCCCCCACTAAGCGAATTTAAAAAAAAAATGTTATAAAAAGTAGTTGGGTAAGAGGTCCTTGAAATTTATTCATTTTACTAAATTTTCTGATAGTTCCAACTTTTCCAGTGGTAGAGTTTTGAAAATAATGGAGTGAACAGCAGGCAGTCCTTTCAATACCAAAGTGCTGGAACTTATTTGGTGCCCATCAACATAAACATAGCTAGAGCCACTTCTGATTTTACAGCTAAATGTAAAAGGACCAGAAGTTTTCAAAATTTCCTGCTGTTCATATATATATATGTTTATTTTTTTTTCGTTTACTATTAGCTGTGAAAGAGCTGTGTCAAAAATGTTTTCAAATATGTCCACTATATCCAAATCAGATATGTCAAACTGTGTGTCATGGATACAACAAAATGTTTCCCATACTGCAGTTAACATGCTGATACTATGCCACACAAAGTTTACTGACACCTCTGCCATTCCTATGCCTTGTTCATTATGTGCCACATTTCTTTGTTTGTTGCCATCGTTTACACTGTCACTGATGCTAATTGGGTGTAATCATCACCAAAGTCACTATCATCACTCCAGCTACATTGCCCCACAACATTATTGTCTGAAAATCATTTACAACTTCACTAATTTCAGACTCTTTATGTGTATGGCTGATTTAAGGCCTGGTCGTGATGTCTATGATGCTGAATTTATAGATTACAGTCCGAGTCATCAGCTGCATGATAACTAAGGTCATTGATACATAAACAAAGAATTCATGTGTTTCATCAGAGCCTGATACAAACCTGAATTCAGTATAATATTTCATTCCTTAGCTAGAGGACAGAAAAATGAAGCATGCAGTAGAATGTACAGTGTACATGAAACCACAGATAGGGTGTTTAAATACCCAACATATGACATGTTGAAACCACACTGAAAGGTTAACATTTTTTTTTTTTTGATGAGTTTTGCTGTAGAACACTATGTATACATCGATTAAGGATGGCAAAAGAAATGGTTGCCCTTTATTGTCCAAGTGGTATGTAGTAAATGCTCATGTATGCAATTTTGTTCATTTTATCTGTTTGATCATTCATGGGCTTCCTATTTAAATCAGTATATCATATGGCTCATGCCCATTTATCCTCTCCAGTAATTTAAGTATGTCTGAAGTGTTCTTGCAATTTGGTTGTGTTGATCATTATAAACTTTACTGTAATGAAATAGGGGATTTTGAACTCCCTGCATTATGGAGCTGGCAGCCAGATTATAACTTGTGGGTAAATATATTAATACTGAAAAGTGCAGCATTTGGCCAGCTGGATTGTGTATATAAGCTATTGCAGTTGTGCAGGCATGCCCAATAAGGGTACTGTTATTATGCTAGGCATGTGTGAGAATAGTTTTTTTTTTCTTTCAGTTTCAGATGAGAATTATGAGAAAGAATTTTCTCTACTAGATCAATTTTTTCCACTGTAATCACAATTTATCACACCAGCCCCTTTTTCCAAGTGAACACTTTTCATACACAATTGTACAAGGTGCGACAATTTAATTCCCGGAATGGCCTTGTGAAAGAAAAATTTGCTTACCTGCATACTAGCTGCTGCTATCGCCTTAGAAATACTGCCCTTTTGAAGCTATGCACTTCATAAGACAGTGGTGCCACTGCTGGAAACAGTCTTGAAAATCATTTTCTGGAATACCCCACAGTCACGTTGCATTGGATGCCAGGAATGTCAGCAAATTTTTGTCCCTTTAGATCATTTTTTTTTTTAATTTTGGAAAGACCCAAAAATCACAGGGGTCTAAGCCAGGCGAATAAGGTGGATAGTCCATTTTTGCAATGGATTTCTTAGCCAGGAACTTGCGAACTCTTAATATATCATGCACAGGGGTATTGTCATTGTGGAGAATCTAATTGTCAGGGCGTCTTTTCCTCCAAACAGATTCCTGTAACCTTGTCAGCACTTCCAAATAACCCTGTCGATTCACCATTTGCCCTTGTTCAATGAATTTGCAGTGAACTGTCCCCTTGTGATCAAAGAAACACAAGCATGGTCAATCTTGAACTACGAGTGAGACATGCATGCTTTTTTCGGTCAAGGTGTATTTTGTCTTTTTCCACTGCATGCTCTGGCATTTTGTTTCCCGGTCGTATTGAAAACACCACATTTCTTCGCTGGTAACAACCCTATGAAACATTTCTACATTGTTTAAAAGATTAGGTGAAATCTGAAGCCAACATTAATTCTGGTCATTTGTCAAGATTCGAGGCACCATCTTTGCGGAAATTTTTCTCATTCCCAAATCCTCTGTAATAATCTGTCTCACTGTTTCCCTATTCATATTCAGTTCTTCTGCTGTTGGTCTCACACCTAATCTTCGATCTGAGTGCACCTAGGTTTGTACTCTGTCCACATTTGCATCTGTCCTTTGCATTTTTGGCTGCCCACTTCTTGGGTCATCTTGCACATCTTCACACCATTCCTTCAACTGCCTATGCCATTCAAAAACACTAATTTTCTTCATAGTGTATTAACCATAAGCCACTATTAATAAGGCTAATGTTCCTGAAGCACTTTTACCAATCTTCACACAAAACTTGATCTCTATCCGCTGCTCCAGATTCTTGTTACCCATTTTTCCACCAAGAGTATACAATTGATACCTACTACTTCATCTGCTGCTTGCGAATGAACGACCCATTTGGTCTGTGGCTCATGTAAATGTGCAAGTTGGAACATGTCCAAATGTGCTTGGGTACATGAATTTGCCTGACTGAACACCCCAGCAACACACTGAAGCCATTCCAGGAATTAAATTGTCACTCTTTGAATTTAAAAAAGAATCAATTTTAGGGTTGTACGTTTTTTTGGCATGGGGAGAAAAAGCAAGATGAACAGATTTTGTTACCAAGTTGATTCAGGCTGGTGTTACCAACCTTTCTGGTTTTGAGCCCGATGAAGCAGTTATATACTGCTGTACGAAACAAAACATCGATTTGAAAAATCTGAGGCAAAAGTATCGATGTTTAAATTGAGATATTTTTTCTTTATTCAGTCAAAAACATTCAAGATGTGCACGTGCCTGTATTACATGTGGACTAGAAAAATCTCAGAATAAATTATTTAAACAGGAGGATGCATTTATAGATTGTTGCCACTACGATTGTTGTTCTCCCACGTATCTAGAAAATTTGTGCTGTTTTGTATTTTAACTAAATTTATGTTGTTTTGTGATCTTTTCAAGTGTTGAAAGTACCGCTAATGAGAGCTTGTCAGTAGGCGATTTGTCAGCACTAGTTCAGGGCTTGGTAAAAGCTGACCGCTGTGGAGAAGCATCGAAAGTTGTGCTGGGAATGATGGAAAAGGGCATATATCCTGCATTCCGTGTTCTGCGCTTCCTTATGAATCGTCTTGCAATTGCAGGAGACATTGATACACTGACAGCTATTGGGAATCTGCTAACACCAGTCAGTATTTCTAAATATTTCATTCTGGCATTTGCAGAGCTTAGGATAAGATGTGTAAAAATCAGCAGAATTTAAGATGCTAGAACACTTAATTCCTGAACTACTCATGTAACTGACTGCCCTATAGCTGTATCTCCTGTAATAGTCAAGAAAAGATATTAAATGTTTTGAACAGAAGTTATAGAATTTTCCACTTTGAGCTAGGAGCACCCATAAACTGCACAAATTATGGTATATTTACATTTCAGACTTGCTATTGCTCTGACCTCAGCAACAAAGACTATACCAATCTGTACTTTTTTGAAGATCTATTGATTCTAGTTGAAAATGAAAGAGTACGAAGAGGGATGACTTCTGATATCATTTTGATTGTACAGAGCTTCATAAAAATCAGTCAGATGGTTTGATATTTAATACACAGAGGCATAAGGCATAATATTGAACCTAAGAATTTTTGGTTTCTTTTCCTGACTATAGTCAGTTTTATGTTGCTTGATTTAATTAACAATACTTTGTCAGCTGTGTAGGTTGTATTTTGTATAATACTCAAGTATTTGAACTGCATATTTCTTGTTCAGTTTGATTATTGATACTGTTAATTAGAATTTTATTAGGTTGGATGAATTACGATTAGTTTCTTGTTGTTAGCTTTTTGGTCTAAAATTAAAGCAGAACTGAATTACTTAATCAGTGAATTAATTAATAACTCCATTTTGAACATGGTTTAATTTTATAGACTGTTTTGAGTGTTATTCTGGGGCAGCTAATTATGTTTGTGACATTCAGCCGAAGAATGTAGTTTTCTAATTTAATACTGCGCTCTTGCTGTTGTAGGAAAAGAAGAAACGTGTTTCATTTGATAATCGTTTCTGCCATGCTAATGTTGTGGCAGGAAAAGCTGTGGAATATATGAAGACATTAACAGAGGAAATTGAAAATGTGAAAGACAGTGACCTTGAAAGTCTTGCTGAGAAATTTCCAAGAGGTGGAGCTATTGCAATCTTAGAAAACCATCCTGAACTTCTTTCAGATTGTAAGTTAACATATTCATTATCAGCAACAGCAACTGCTATTCAGACAGGTGTGCTATCCCAGTACAACAGACACATTACTTCTTAGTCATAAAAATATTTCATTTTTCCTTCAATGGACTTAGGCAATCACTAGGACAGCTTTCCAGATCCTAGGATAAGCTCTGAGGAATGGTTTTCACCATACATTTATAGAATACAGGGATTAATTTTCCACTGAGAAGTGTCCGTGGTACAGATTTAACCCACAGGATTGAGAGGATATAAATCAATTTAAATAAATTGAGGATGAAAGAAATTTGGATTTAACTTCACTACAGTTTATATACAAAGACTAAAATGCCAGTAATTTCTATAATTTTTAATCAAGGAAGCACACCTTCAGTGTGATGCAGCTGTTTCTGTTGGCAGAATTCCTGTAATAAAACATTGCTCAGTAAGTGGCAGTTCTGTATTATGAAAGAAATGCTGGCCCAGCACTTTATATTATACGACTGTATTTTACAAAAGAGGTCCTCTGGGAACATTATTAAATTTTGAACTGTGCTATTCATCAACCTCTAAAGGAGTTTCATTTATCATTTTGTGATATATCCTTATTCTGTTAGTTGTTCAGGTCAGCGACTTCTGTGTGCTGGTTGTACCCTCTTTTTCCTAATTGTAGTTTCATCAGTATGGTGGATGGAAATCTGGGTGATAATGTAGTCATGAGACATATTTTTATAGCAGGGTGCAGCAGCATAATTTGCTGATTTGAAGGGTCAGTAAAACAAAAGATGTTATAGGTATCATAATTATTTTTTCTCCATATTCTACAGCATTGGAAATTTACGTTTACTCTGTTTCAAAAATTGTATCCAACAAGTGATGCCCCCCATTGGCGATACACTGATTTGCCTGAATTCTGAAATGTTGGTTGACTATTTCCAGCATAGCGATGGGTATGTTGGCTGTGGTTTGGCGAATATTCTCCTTCAGTTGAGCAAGGGTCCTTGGACGATCGGTGTAAATGAGGAATTTCAGATACCCCCATAAGAAATAGTCACAAGGGACTGTATCGGGTGCGTGCGCTGGCCATTGAAGATCGCCCCTCAAAGAAATCAGGCGCCCAGGGAAGTGCTCCTGCAAAACACGCATTGCAGTTCGTGCCGTGTGTGCTGTGGCTCCATCCTGCTGAAACCACACATCCCCAACATCCATTTCGTCAATACTTGGCAAAAAAAATTCTTCGATCATTTTCACATAGCGAACAGAATTCACTGTAACTGCAACCTCATTCTCTTCAAAGAAGTAGGGACCAATAATCCCTACACTCGACAGTGCACACCAAACAGTTACACATTCACAATGAAGGGGCCTCTCATGAAGTTCTCGGGGATTGTTATCACTCCAGTAGCGCATGTTTTGCTTGTTCACGCATCCAGAAAGATGGAAGTGAGCCTCGTCACTAAAGAACACAAGCGCATCATCAGGCAAAGTTTCAAGGAATGCTTCATGTTGCCGAGCAGCAAAATCACGTTCAGTAAGTTCTTGCACCACGGCCAACTTGTAAGGATGAAAGTGGAGGTCATCATGAAGAATTCGCCTCACAGAACGATGAGACATTCCAAGGGCACCTGCATGCTTGAGTGCCGAGGGCCGAGGAGATCGCAAAAGAGACTGCCTTACTGCCTTGATGTTTAGGGGTGATCTGACGGGCCGTTCCCCTGATCTTCTCTTTTCCACACTGCCAGTTCTCCTGAATGTGTTTGCCCATGTAACAATTGATTGCCGACCAGGAACACGAGCTCGTGCGGAAATATTGAAGTGTGCGCGGAATGCTCACTGTGTGGCGACGATTGAGCAACCGTTAGAAAAGTAAGCCTCTACGGCAAACGCGCACTGTTCCTTCGTCCAACGTATTCTTGGTACTAAAGTGGTTGGAAGAACAAACGTCCCGATCCACCCGTTCGAATGAGACCATCCACACCCTCTAACAGCCAAACCTCGCTTCCTGGCGCCAAATTCAAATCAGCAAATTATGCTGCCACACCCTGTACATTGAAACCCCCATTTAAGATTTCTCTGGAAATCAGTGGATTTGGTTACTAAGTTGTAGAAAATCTTAAGAGGAGGAAATTTAACACTGAGATTATTGATTCGGGATCATTGAAATTGGATGTAAAATACAGTTAAATCATAAATTGAGCAATATTAAATGGGCGTTCCACTGTAGTAGTAAAATAGAATTCTTATGTAACAAATACACACGAAAAAGTTAAATAGTTCCGTCCAGTGTGACTGGTTAAGATTTTCTTATATCAATTATTCATGCCCATACATGTTTCGGTCTTCAGAGACCATCTTCAGAGTGACACCTTTACATCGATACTATTAGAAGCCACCATTACAGTAAATGTTCTAAAAGTTAAAATATATACAATCAATATAAACAATATACAATTGGCTGTAAAATCTAAAGTCTCTACAACTACAGCCGCTGTTCCAATACTTTAAAATATTTATAATTAGTTTGTTAAGATTTGTTAAGTAAAAGTAAAAACAACACAGCGGGCCACAAACACATACAGGACAACATTAAAGAACCCTCTTCTCGAGAACGACAGGACACACATTCAGCCCCCGTCAAAAGAAATAATAAGAGGGACGACACGAACCAGCTTGGTTTATGAATTCCAATACAATCTTATCAAACTGACTATAAATATTTTAAAGTATTGGAACAGCTGCTGTAGTTGTAAAGACTTTAGATTTTACAGCCAATTTTATATTGTTTATATTGTATGTATATATGTTAACTTTTAGAACATGTACTGTAATGGTGGCTTCTAACAGTATTGATGTAAAGGTGTCCCTCTGAAGACCGAAACATGTAAGGGCATGAATAATTGAAATAAGAAAATCTTAACAATTCACACTGGATGGAACTATTTAACTTTTCTGTGATATTAGTGTGATGGACCAGAATGAAACAAATCAAAAACAAATACACAGTTTAATATAATACAATTAAAATATGTGGCAGTAAAGAAATTATATAAGAATGTACCATGGATTTAACTATTAGTTCCTATCTCCTTGGCAGTAACAGTGTGTTTTCTTGTTAAGTTCTCAGCTTTTTGTACTGAACCAGATGTCTTTTGACAATCCAGATGAGCAGATGGCTCTCAAGTATGCTGCCAGAGGCATCAAAGCTCCCATCAATGTGCTTTGGATGGACCTGTTTGTGAAGGGGCAGGATGCTGAAGCCAAGAAGTTGTGGGATGAACATCTAGCTGGATCTTCTCGTATCATGTTCCAACACATTCTTCAGGAGGCTCAGGAAAAGCGTGATGAAAATATTGCTCGCAAGCTTATTGCTCTGCTTCAGGGTACTGCTGTATCGGAAGGGGTTCGTGGTAATGCATATAGCTGCCTTCTTGATGTCCTTGGTAAGTAGTTAGGTCTGACCGTTTGTCGTTTGTTGATTGATTGTTACATTATTCAACTGCAGAGGTTATTAACACTTTGCGGACCGGTGATTTAAATATTTAAATCACCCTGGGGACCGGCATTTTTATACCTACTACCATAACTTGGCATTTGACCGGGTAAACTGGACCAAATTAATGCAGATCCTAAAAGAAATGTGTATCGATTGGCGTGAAAGAAGATTGATTAGCAAATTGTGCATGGATCAGAAAGTTAGAGTACGACTGGACAGAGGGGAGACAGGAAGTGTGCAAATTGGAAGAGGAGTTCAACAAGGATGCTGTTTATCACCAATTCTGTTCAACTTGTACAGCGAATGCCTTGCCAAGGAAGCTCTGGATGGGCTCGGAGACTTCAAAGTAGGAGGGCAAATTATTCAAACTGTGAAATATGCAGATGACCTTGTGTTAATGGCTAAGGAAGGTACAAATATTTAAATTAAGCTAATTTAGCTAATATTTAAAGATACTGTTAATGTGTAGTGTAAATTTACCAGTGAATTATGGGTGTGAAATTAGATGCTAAAGACATTTTATCATAAAAAGAGGGAAATAACAGTTATGTAATTAGGAGCTTCAGAATTTGTATGCTTCATGTAATATTATTAGGGTGATTAAATTGCGGAGAATGAGATGTGTGGGATATGAGCAGATTTAGGGGAGATGTGAAATGCATACAGAATTGTAGTCTGAAAATGGCCAGGGAAGAGACCATTCGGGAAACTAGGCACAGATAGAATAATATTCAAATGAATCTTAGAGAATTAGGGGTGTAGGTGTGGAGTGAATTCATTTCGCTCTGGACAGGGCCTGTGTTGGGTTTTTGGGCGTAGGATGTGAAACCTTTGGGTTCCATGAATAGAAAATCTCATTGCTAATGGGCAGTCACTGAAAGAAGACTGAACCATGGAGTTGATTAGTTAGTTTTAATCTGCAAACCAGTGAACAGCATTTCCTAATATTTTGTGAAACACAGTTACCCCTGGCTCTGAACATCATGTCATAAAATCATGTAGAAGGCATGGAAGTACACCCCTGTGCTTTCTTACCTTTAGTACTACATGGAGATGACAGTGATTAGTATACCCCAGGAAGAACCCCAGTGCCCACGAGATAATACTCATTGGGTGGGTCCCAAATTAATCTCTGGTCCAGTGGCTGGATTATCTTAGTAAAATGACTGGCTGCAGCCTAGACAGCCAGTATTGAGTTTTTATTAGGTGTAGGGACTTTTCAGCTTCCTTGCCTCTAGGGCACACCCAGCCTATGCATGAATATTGGCAGTAGCATTTTAAAATGTTAGATATGTATGTCTGCCTTATATCTAAAAGCATAATTATTTTTTTCAGTGAATACTGAGAAGTATGATGATGCACTTGTGGCCCTGGAGGAAGCTGTGAAAGACGTGTGCTTGGAAAACATGAACAGAGCAACCCTCTTGAGGTTACAGATTGGACTCCAAAATCAAGGGAAAACATTTCCATTTGAAGTGCCACCTAAGGTAAGAAACTTCATAATAATCTCACAGGTTTAGAATGACTGTGCACAGGGTTTGGATTGGTAATCAGATTTATTGAACACTTACATAATATAACTATAACAGTTTCACTGAGTTACTTTCCAAAGATCACTGTAAGAACAGCATACATAAAGTCATCTCAGTCTTCCCTAGACATTGCTCAATAGCAGCTTCCAGCAGCGGACATTCCTCTTACTCTGGATTCCTTAACTGTCCATGGCCTCAGCTACAGCAGCTCTCAACTGACTGTCACTAATTGTTCTGCCTATAACATCTTGGCAAGGACTGCACAAAAACACCATTCATCTGTTGCTTGTTCCATTTTTGCAAAGCCATTACTCAGTAATGGTTGGCTATGGCTGCTGTTTTTGTGACCATTGCCTATTAACAGGTCTACATGCCACAATATTGTCACACATTAGAGTGACTCTAGACATGTTTTGGATTGATAGCTGGATTTATTGGACACTGTTACAGCTCGTGACTACACTTCACAGATCACTTTTACATACGGACTAGTGTTTTCAGTCACATTGCTTGGCAGCCGCTTCCAACGGTGGATGTTGTTCTGCTTCTGGGCTCATGTCCTCACGGCTGGTGACCATCCTATGCCAATCTCATGCTCTTGACAGCTGGCTTCAGCCAGTACTTCATCCAGCTGCTAGCTCCCAGACTAGACTGACTTCCAACTGCCAACCTCCAACATCAGGTTTCAAGTCTTGACTGGCTCCCAAGTCAAAGTAACCCACAGTGCACAATTGACTCCTTATGTAGCCTTGCTGTGAATTGTATAGGAAACAGTTCCTCTGTTGTTGCACGCATACCTGTTGCCATGGCAATATGGCATGGACCTCATAGAAAACACCGAGTTACATGCTGTTCCCTGGCAATGGACGTTTCTTCTGGCTCAACATTTCATGCTTTGAGCAACTATGCCACATTGCTTCGCATCATTTGGCTATGTTTCTGTCCTTTGGTTATCATTAAAAATGGCTGACCATTTAAATGCTCGTGTCGTTAAACAACGTGAACTTTCATGTAGTGCTTTAATTAATTCGGTTAATTGCCATTTTAATGAAGATACTGAAATTCACTCCAAAACATCTTAGTTCACCACAATCAATATATTTAGCACAGTTAGAAATTGGTAAGAATTTCACTAATTTTAATAATGAGATTCCTGACTTCTGTTAGAGTATAGGTTCTCACAACAGTGACTAAAGAATGCTGTCACCTGGGATGGCATGCTGCATAGCCTAATACAGTGGTTCTCAACCATTTTTGCTTGTGACCCACTTCTGAGTTTCATTCACTTCTGTGGGCCCCAACCCTGCATATTGTTTAATTACAATAAATGTAATATTTATAATAAATATGTACTTTATCAACTGCACTTTTATTTATATAATGTATTATTCATTTATAATATCAGGAATATTAATTTATTAATTTTTAAAATTTATTACTGCACTAATTTTGCAACTTTTTAAAGATATGACAAATTTGGAAGTCAGTATTCATAAAAATTACTTTGGAAGCTTTTCTATTTAAAATAAATACAAAAATGCTGTGATCAGTTCACAGAATTTTTCTTTTATATACCAGTTCACAAGAAGGGTGATAAAACTGACTGTAGTAATTATCGTGGGGTATCACCGCTATGAAATTACTGGGGATCATCGGTGTGGCTTTCGACGTACAGACCAACTGCTGTAAAGATCTTTTGCATTCATCTGATACTGGAGAAAAAATGGGAGTACAATGAGATAGTATATCAGCTATTCTTAGACTTCAAGAAAGCCTATGATTCAGTTAGGAGGGAAATATTGTACAATATTCTGATAGAGTTTGGGATACCCATGAAACTAGTTAAGCTGATTAAAATGCGTTTAAACGAAACTTATAGTAAAGTCCGTATAGGTAAACATTTTTCTGATAAATTTCCTATCCAGAATGGTCTAAGACAAGGAGATGTTTTATCGCCACTCCTTTTCAACTTTGCTTTAGAATATGCCATTAGGAAGGTCCAGGAAAACCAGGTGGGACTGAAATTAAACGGGACACATGAGCTGTTGGCCTCTGCCGATGATGTGAATCTACTGGGTGATAATATAGATACCATAAAGATAAACACACAAACTTTAATTGATGCAAGTAAGGAGGTTGGTTTAGAAGTAAACACAGAGAAAACTAAGTATATATTGCTGTCTCGTCACCAGAATGCAGGGCAAGATCATGACATAAAGGTAGGAAACAGAGGTTTTGAAAATGTGACACAGTTCAGATATTTGGGAACGATGATAACAAATGAAAACCTGATTGAGGAGGAAATTAAGAGCAGATTGAACTGGGTCAATGCTTGCTACCATTCAGTCCAGAACCTTTTGTCTACTTGTCTGCTGTCCAAAAATATAAAAATAAATAATAAAAAAATAAAAATAAAAAATATATAAAACTAATTTTGCCTGTTGTACTGTATGGGTGTGAAACTTGGTCTCTGACATTAAGGGAGGAACATAGACTGAGGGTGTTTGAGAACAGGGTTGAGGAGAATATTTGGGCCGAAGAGGGATGAAGTGACAGGAGGTTGGAGAAAACTGAATAATAAGGAGCGTCATAACTTGTACTCTTCTCCAAGTATAATTAGAATGCTCAAGTCAAGGAGTATGAGGTGGGGAGGGCATGTAGCATGAATGGGGGAGAAAAGGAATGCATATAGGATATTGGTGGGAAAGCCAGAAGGAAAGAGACCACTGGGAAGACCAAGATGTAGGTGGGTGGACAATATTAAAATGGATCTTAGAGAGATACGATGGGATGGTGTGGATTGGATTGAGCTGGCTCAGGATAGGGACCAGTGGAGGGCTCTTGTGAACATGGTGATGAACCTTCGGGCTCCATAAAATGCTGGGAAATTCTTGAGTAGATGCAGAATTGGCAGCTCCTCAAGAAGTGCTCAGCTGCATGAGTAAGTAAGAGGGAGGATACTCAGATTCTATTGAAAGCTAATAATTTGCTTGTAATGAAAGTTCAGGTTATTATGAAATGTAATGCTTAGTTGTCAAAAAATATTAGCTAGATTTTGTAACTTAACTACAGAGTAGGGAACTGCCCCTATAATAGAACTTCCAGATATGCTGGATACTGAACGGAAGGACACCTGAAATTTACTGAGAAGGTGGCAGTAAAATTCATGAGAGGAGTGGGAGATAGTTAGAAAAATAAAGGATCATTTTTCCAGTTAACCATTTCGTTAGGGCTTTGCCCACTCCGAGAAGGTGATTACCTGTTTACCAGTACTTGGAATTCCCAGATTTGAGGTTGTGGTTTAAGTACAATAGGTTTTGTCCCTTCTAAGTAAGATACACAAAAACCGGGATATTTAGTTATTTGTACTGACAATATGGCATTTATTTGTTTTTATATTACTAATAATTAAATTTTAGAGGTGAAATTTTCGTGGCCAACTTAACAGTTTCCTTGGCCTCCCATTTTTCCGACTTCTGCCTGTGTCCCCTGTTGAGAACCACTGGTCTGATAGACTCTGGAGATGGAGGCAGTACATTCCTCTTAATGTTAGTAAACTTTTACTAGATTACCGTGTAACATCCCAGAAAACAGTACTCTTCTTCTTGAGCTATGTTACAGTACCGTGAATACAGCAAGTAGGTCAATATGCATAGCCATTTTTTATTGTGAAATAAAGATCTATAGTACTTAATTTCACTGAATAATCAAATATGATAACAGTTTGGCATGTGTGATTGAATTTCTCACAAATGAATCATTCTACCACTAATTGGAAATGCATGCTCCAATTTGGAGTACGCATGTATACATGAAATTTATTTAGAATTTTGCATACTTTATTGGATGTTCATTTGATGCAAATGGAATTTTTTTGATGTGGAACTAATTTTAAACAAGCAGATGCTTAGTGTTACTTTAGAATATACCATTAGGAAGATCAAAGAAAACCTTGAGGGACTGGAATTGTATGGGACACATCAGCTTCTGGTCTGTGTGCTTATGTTAATTTGTTGGGCAAAAATATAAATTACATAAAGAAAAACACAGGAACTATTAAGGTGTGTCCACATTACTCGTGCTCATGTGACTCACTATGCTCACGAGTAACGGAGATAAGCAAATTTTAAATTTAAAAACTATAGCCAATAAATTAAAATACAACTACAGCCTATACACACTATGAGTAAATATATGGATCCTCACATGGCAAAGTCTGGCGAGCAACTGAAGTAGCATGGGCAAAGATTTACGAGCACAAGTAAAAGCCAGATGAGTCTCCCGATGAGCATGAGCATGAGTAATGTGGACGCACTTTTAGACGGTAGTAGGGATGTTGGTGCGGAAGTAAATGCAGAGAAAACTAAGAATATGTTCATGTCTCGCAGGGTGAACCAGTAATATAAACATAGCTAGTAATTTTGAGATTCAAAGTATGTACAATGGTGAATAGGATGCTACTGTCTTCTGGGATATAAGCAGACTAAATGGCATCACACTCCAGAAGACAGTAATTTTTATGGCTGATGAATCATTACAGAAACGTGGCACAGTTAAAATATTGTGAAACAATAGTAACAAACAAGATTTCATTTACAAAGAAATTAAAAGCACGATACATTTAGGAAACTTTTCCTACCATTTAGTGTTAAATTGTCCATCTTCCTATCTTCTGGCTGAAAATGGAAAGCTTAAAATATACAAAACTTATAATATTTTCTCATGTTTTTGTATTGGTATGAACATGATCTCTCACAGTAAGCAAGGAATACAGATTAAAGGTGATTTCAGATCAGGTTGCCTAGGAGTGTATAACGATATAATAGGGTGGAAGTAAGAGAAAAGGGGGGGGGGGAAATGCATAATGGAGTGTTATAATTTGTACTCTTCTTTGTGCAAAGAATGTTTAAAAATGAAAGAATACTGTTGTTTATATACAGTAATGTTTATTGCTTAATCAGTTTCAGATATTATATGATTCATATTGTGATTAAATTACCAATAAACCACACATGTATATATATTTTCTTAAATTTTTCATGAGTATGGTTTCTTTTTCTTTACAGAATGCAAAAAGCAGTAGTTCCAGTTCTAGTGATGATGAACAATCAACCATTGAAAATAAACAGTAAAGAGAGTGTGATTATATCATTACATTTATTCTTATTTAAGCATTGATTTTTATTTCTTGTTATTCACTAGTTATAGTTACTGTCTGCATGTTTTGTATTGAAAACTTCCAATCTTAAGTAGGTCCCATCATTTAATACAAGTAATATCTGTGGTTATATTTTATAATGTCTACAGCCTTCTGTGTCGCAGATCCCTCAAGTCTTGATATGTACAGTTGAGGAACATGAGTGATAAGCAGTCTGTAGTAGAATTTGTCATTTCTGTGTACATAATGGATACATGAAATGATAAGCTGTTACACAATAAAAACAAAACAGTCCAAACTGTAACATCCTTAAAATAGTTACTGGTATGTGAAATAAATGCTGGAAGAACCTCAGTCAAGAGTCAAAGTAACTGTGATGCTAGAGGCAGCAGGGGCCATTTTGCGTGTTCAGTATGTAGTATCAGATTCCAAAAATTATGGACATGTAACAATTTCTGGCAGAAAGACAACTTAATATAAATTGTTTTTAACATAATCACACTAAATTAAGATATGATCTCCCAAAGGTTAAAAATGTTTTATGCTAAATGCTGGGAGCTGGTATAGCGTAGTCGATATAGTGTCTGGCTATGGGCTGGGTGACCGAGGGGTCAGAGTTCGAGTCTCTATAGGGTCAAGAATTTTCTCTTCTCCACATTGTCCAGACTGGCTCTGGGGCCCACCCACCTTCCTATTCAATGGGCACCATGGGCTCTTTCCCCAGGAGTAAAGCAGCCGGGGCATGAAGCTGACCACTCACCTCCATTGAGTGCCAAAGTCAAGAAAATGTGGCTCTATACATCCACTCCCCCATATGCCTTCATGGCATAGTGCTTAATTAGTTAAGCACAAGGACAGCTTTACCTTTACGCTAAATGCTGCTTATTTAATAAATCACAATTCACCGAATACAGGAAAGCCATAGTTTCATACTGGGCTTCATCTGGGACCTGAGAAATATACATCACCTGTGAGGACACTAAATTTGGATTTCTATGTATATGGAAGCACCCATAAGGTAAGATTTCCTTTTTGCCAACAGTAGGCTGGCAGAGAGGGGACATACAGCTTAAAATGGGATTTGAGCCATGTTGGGGAATACATTCCTTAAGTAATAACATAAAGTCACCAGATACCCATTAAATGTTACTTTCTGTGTTTTGACAATTGAGTCTGTGTAATCAGTTTGCTGGAAAATAGTGTGTTCTTTTTCAGTAATCAAACAATCCTCCAGTCCACTCAAGTTTGGTCACTGACTTGCTTTTGGATTCATAGTCCTCAGTCAGAAGGATGAAAAGTTTTTACATAGAGTTTGCAATAAGGTCAGATCACCATGCCTGCGAGTAAACTAGTATATGGTGAAACTCAATAACTTCAATGTTCTGTACCTTAGTTCAGCTGTGTAAGGGATCATATTGCTGACTAAGTGGCAAAAGTTAAAACAGTATAGTTAACCATATGAAGTTTCTGGCTGATTTTTTTTTAAGTATCTGGTCTTAGTAGCTGGCTGAGCATGTACACCTGTATGAGTGTCTCCTGAGGAATGGGCTGGGGAGAAACTGTGGAGTCTGGAGGCATGAGGATGCTAACAGTCAACCCCTTACCCACCACCTGCTGACATGGAGATCTACATACAATGGATAACCCTAGCGTGTTTTTGATTTTATTCATGTGAACCATGAATGGAATTAAGGGCCAGAGTTGGCTTAGTATTGAATTTTACTAAGGGAGTAGTTAAATGAGCACATACTACAAAAGACTGTGGGGTACTTCCAGTGCTTCTAAGTAACGTTTTTTGTAGATAGTGTTGTAGTGAACTGTTGAGCATCTGCTGGCATGTTCCCGTTTTAGTATAAGTATTCTTACGTTATTCCAGGAACCCAAAGGCATTACCAGTAGATGTATGTATGTAAGGGGTGGGCCATAAAAACCGGCCCCCGCACTGTGACCTTCAATCATCTATTGTGCTTTCCCTTGGATTAGCCCTTTATTAATCCTACACTTTTAATAAAGTGTAGGACCCTGCTTATGGGGGCATCATAAAAGTCACTTGGGTAAGTGATCCTACCACCCATCTTAGTTGAGCTCTGTTTAATCTCAACAGATTCTTTGTTCTTCTGGCAGAGGGTCCTGATATAAAACCCTCTGCCTGTTTGAGTCCAATTATGGATTCCCAGTGCTTTTTATGGTTTCTGTCAGTCCAGTCACTGGTAGCGTGGGTCAGGATGGGTCTTAGATGTAGAGTAACCCACTGTCATAGTCTTTCCTTCTCTTCCCATGCAAACATTGGTAGCTTAGCACTGGGAGTCAGGAGAAGTATGCAGCCATTCATTACACTTTGTATGAGGGGTCTCTTAATCCTCACCATGGGTATCCATTATACTGGTGACAGCAGTCAGATTTCCTTGACTAATGAATACTGTTCATTGCTTTTATTAATAGAATTCTTTTAAAAAATGGAAAATACAGTAATCATGTGGACTTTTATACAACTATGTTGAGGTTACAGAAAGAAGTCCCATGGGACAAGTCTCTCTACATCCCTCTACATCTACATACACTTTTACCCTCTGTTCCACCCACCCAGGTGTCTAGCCATTCTGTTGATACCTTCTCTCATGCACAAAATGCTCACATTTTATTATACAGACAAATCAAGCAGTTTCATATTCTGTAATTCTTCAATCCTTCTGAATTAACCAATATTCCCAAATGCCTCCATTTTAGATTTGTACAGGGTGTACTTCAAATATCTGGAAGGTGAGATCTTATAGATTTCAGTACCTCTGATACTAATAGATGTGTTTGTAGCAAGTGATCATACAAATTTCATACATCAAATTGTAATGGATGATTCATTATACTGAAGCCATGGAGGAAAAGTTGGTTGGATGATGGGGATTATAATGCTCAAGGTTTTCTACTCTGCCTGTTTTCTCCAGGCCCCTTTGGCCTGTGTCAACCGTCCAAAGATAATTAAAAAGGTAAAGCTGTCCCTGTAACAGGCCGTGGCACTTTGAGGCTCCTAAATTTTCTAGACAGTCAGCTCACAGATGGCGGTGAGGTTGTCAGCCTCACACACCAGCCACTCTTTACCCCCAAGATTTTTCATACTCATTTCTGTTAGAGGCTGAGTCAACCCTAGGGCCATAATGGGCCATAAGGCAGTCGTGTACAAGATCCCCCCCCCCAATCACTCTTCAGCCTTTACATTAGAAATTTGTTATGTAAACACAAGAAACTTCCAGATGAATTAAGTAAATGTTATTGTGTATTACTATTAATTATCACATACTAATACTATTATTCTCAGGAATATTTTGTTTCATACCTCAGTCATATGTGTTTTCATTATAGGTATTACACATTCACCATTATTTTTCCCCTTACTTACTTACTTATTTATGGAGCTGAACTGCCAATTCTGCAGCTACCCAAGAATTTCACAGCATTTTATGGAACCAGAAGGTTCATTACCGTGTTCACAAGAGCCCTCCACTGGTCCCTATTCTGGGCCAGATCAATCCAATCAATACCATCCCATCCTATTTCTCTAAGATCCATTTTAATACTGTCCACCCAACTAGGCCTTGGTCTTCCCAGTGGTCTCTTTCCTTCTGGCTTTCCCACTAATATCCTATACACATTCGTCTTCCCCATTCGTGCTACATGCCCTGCTCACCCCATCCTCCTTGACTTGATCATTCTAATTATACTTGGAGAAGAGTACAAGTTATGAAGCTCTTCATTGTGCAGTTTTCTCCAACCTCCTGTCACTTCATCTCTCTTCAGTCCAAATATTCTCCTCAACACTCTGTTCTCAAACACCCTCAGTCTATGTTCCTCCCTTAATATCAGAGACCAAGTTTCACACCAATACAGAACCACAGGCAAAATTATAGTTTTGTATATTCTAATTTTTATGTTTTTGGAGAGCAGACAAGAAAAAAGGTTCTGGACTGAATGGTAGTATTTTTTCCAAAAAACTTTATTTCTGAAATCATGGTGCATCTTACACAGCTGCAGGTACTGTAACACTAATGTGCCATTTGAGGAAATAATACTACTACGTTGTGGTATTAGGAGCCGGTATAGCGACTGGCTATGAGCTGGATGACCGAGGTGTCGGAGTTAGGTCAAGAAGTTTCTCTTCTCCAAGTCGTCCAAACCGGCTCTGAGGACCATCCAGCCTCCTATCCAATGGGTATTGGGGACTTTCCCTGGGTGTAAAGCAGCAGGAGTGTGAAGCTGACCACTCACCTTCAGCTAGTGCAGAGGTCAAGAAAATGTGGATCTATACATCCCCTCCCCATATGCCTTCATGGCGTAGTGCTTAATTAGTTAAGCACAGGGACAACTTTACCTTTTACCTTCGCCTTACATTGTGGCATTATGCGACTGGCGTAATGTTCTACTGCCATCAAGCTTAGATTCTCAGAATATTTTATAAGTATTCTTAACATTCATGTCAGACACAAAGTACCCAAGTGCATATATATATGTATTAACTTTTAATAAATTTGCACTGATTATACAAGTCTCAAACCTTGATACAAGTACTTGCACCACATATACACAACCCTCTGCAACAAAATGTCCATATTGTTTACTATCACCTTTTTATAAAGACAGATCATAATACATTTCATAGAGTCAGTGCATATTGTAACACGAAATGCTGTCATTTGTTTACCTCGAAGAAGAAAATTTACTTAAATGTCTTTATATTTCATATCTTGGATTCAACTTGTGTTCTTAATGATAGATCACATACAAATCACTTATGATGTCACTGGAATAGAAACTTGGCAATGCCCAAATCTTCATGAAGAGCACCAATTTTACTGATTTGCAAGTTACTGCTCAGTTTCTAGGCTGATGTAAGAGAAGGACTATGCCAGAAATATAACAAAGAAAAGGAAGAAAAATATGAGCACAGCAAATATCTTGATCATGAGCCAACGGTTGGAGGTAATGTTTTGGAAATATTTGATAATTTCATTATGAGCTGCTTCAACATTCAGTTCTGCATCCTGAACATTTGTATCAATCCTGAAAAGAACCAAAATTATGTAAATACATCATGAAATATGAAGCAAAATCTGCCAACTTTAGTCTGTCTTCCCACATTTCTGTGTTCATAACTCTGCATCAATATTTGATTGTGAATCTCTGTGTTGTGATACTCTATAGTCTCACAGATGGCTGTCAACATTCTGGAGAGACCTAGTGCCTCACTCTCTACTATCCTAGGTTATTAGACAGTACCCTGAAGATGGAAGTAACCAAAGTACATGAAGATAATGAACAATGTGATTATAATTTTACTGTACAAATCAACACTTCTATCAGGGATTGTTTTCACCTGGTTCAGGATAAGCATGTAATAAGTGTTGTTTGTGTAATTCAAGATAGTCACAAGAGCATACCATAGAGAAGCTGCAGTAGGCATATGTACCATGTCCCCATGTGACAGACAAATGTTTTATGAATACCAGTAATATCCACCATACAGATATATTCACATGTTTGGGAATTAAAATTGTCCATAAAACTTAATATTCAAATTCTGACCTCTCCACCATTTCTTCTTGCTCCTTCACCATATGTGCCAGTTGTTGGAATATTCCACCAAGTTCAACAATTGTTGATTCAATGTTTTGCATTGTCTCAGCACGACTCAGAAGGTAGTTATCCTGAAGGCAGAGACAACGGATACAGCATTCAGAACTAAATAAAATATGACCACTTTCAAAGCAACTGTAGTAATACAGTAAACACTTGTCAGAGGTATCAAATACAACATCTGAAAGGGTGAACAAGCACAGCTGCAGATGAGTTTAAAAAAGGGAGCAATGAACGTTGAAGTAAAACTTCACATACTCCTGTCCTCAGTTTGAGATGGAGGTGATTGGTCAGCTTCATGCTCTGGCCACTTTAGTCCAGAGAAAGAACAATCAGGACATATTGGCAAAGAGAAAGATTCCTGTCCCTACCAGGAATTCAATGTTGGCTCTGCCAACTGAGCTGTACCAGTTCTCGTGGTTCTGTTACTATGCAGAACTCTACCAGGACTGCTTAAAAATCAAGTGCATGCAATAAGCCAAATCAAACAGCTTCTGCATTTCCAGCATTTGTGTTGACATTGCTGAGTAATAATATATGCACATCTAGAACTGGAGCTAAAGGCTGCAATTCGATACGTAATTTTACTACGTCTCCAACAAATTACATAAAATAACTTCCAGTTTATTCCTCTCAAGCTCAGTCTCCTATTTGAGAATGCCTGTGAACTTACAATTACACACTGTGATTACAATTCTCACCGTTTCATCATAGATCATTGCCTGCTTTTGAGTAGCTGGAAGCAGTGGACTGTATGCCTCCATGTTAACACTGACTTCATCAGTGAGCAATACAGAACCCTGGTGATGACCCGAGATAGCTGATGGAGGGAGTGATGAAGAGACAGGGCCCTGAGAGAACTGATCCTGGCGACTCTTTTGTTGTTTCAGATTCTGTGGAAGTAAAACATCCATTATGGAAAAGGCATGAAAGAAAAATTAACAGATCAAACTTTGGATGTTCTTATAAAAATGGAGAGAAAGTAATGACACAGTCTCCTTTTTGCAAAACGAATGTTGTAGTTTGGCCCTGCCTGGATGCAATGTAGTGAAACTCAGCATGGGTGGAAAAATACAGCACTGTTGCTAGATCTTCACTTCAACTCCGGACATCAAAGAGTGCAGTGAGAGTCTTCCAGCATTCAGAGTACAACATACTAGTATCTCTGGTGGAACAATGCTTGCAAATAAAACATCAACTGGCAACTGATGTGGCCAACACACAACTATTATCCAATGCTTTTTTTATTGTATTTTTATTTAAGGGCACTATCACTATCAAGACTATATAGCATCTGTGACAAGATTAATGAATATAGAGCAACCAGTGTAATGAGAATTGGCATGGGAAACTGAAGTAGTCGGAGAACACCTTCCCCAGTGCCATACTGTCTATAGATTTCACATTACCTGACCTTGGATCAAACTTGGGCCACAGCACACTGTCAGCCAATACTGCTTTTATGTTAACAGCACTGAGCACTAATATGTGACACTGAATTGCAGGCTGACTGTAGTTTTTTAAATTGGTTTTCTATATCAGTACATAACTGTCATTAAATTTTATTATCCTGCTTTGTTTTATAAGAAATTGTAGGCTTCTGATATTGTGACACATAGGCCATTTCTACAGGGTGGGGCACAGAAATTTCCTTTTTGTGAAGACGCATTGTGAAAGGGGGGGAGGTCGCAGAAAAGTGGGGATAGGCTTGGCGAACGCGGCATGTGTTTGCTGTCGAAACGTATTTTTCAAACAACCGTTCTTATGTGGCGAACGCAGCATGTGTACCATACTCACTTCGGAATTAAGCCCAGAGGTCCGTCTCCTGACCGGAAATCAATTGTTTTGTGGGTAGAGAACTTCAGGACAACCAGGAGTGTGGTGAAAAAATCACCAGGATGACAACGGACCGTTACAAAGCCAGAAAATGTGGAGGCAGTTCAACAGTCGATTTTGAGATCTCCAAGACACTCCGCTCGCAAACATGCAGTCACCCTAGACATATCCAATCGTTCAATGCACCAAATTCTTCACAAACATCTTCATTTACATCCCTATAAGATGGTTGTTGTGTGCAAGAATTGTCACCATGTGATTTCCAGAACCGAATAACGGCGTGCGAAACGTTATTGGAAACTTTACCCCCTGACGCACTTGTTTTCTTTAGTGATGAGGCATATTTTCACCTATCTGGATACGTCAAAAACCAGAATATGCACTACTGGAGTGGTAACAATCCCAGAGAGCTCCATGAGAGGCCACTTCACAGTGATAAGGTGACAGTATTGTGTGCGTTGTCAAGAGTTGGAGTTATTCACCACTATTTTTTTTAAGAAGACAATCATGCAGTTACTGTCAATTCACAGCAGTATGTGGACATGATTAACAACTTTTTCGAACCAGCTCTTGAAGAAATGCATCTAGGAAATGTTTGGTTCCAACAGGATGGTGCCATGGCCCACACAGCCCGAACTTCAATGACAGTTTTGAGGGCAAAGTTCCCTGGACGGCTCATCTCGCTTCGAGGTGACATCCCGTGGGCAGTGCACTCACCTGATCTAACGCCCTGTGATTTTTTTATGGGAATACCTCAAGGCAGAGGTTTTTAAACATCGCCCCACAAATGTGCTTCAGCTGAAGAATGTTATTCAGCAGGAAGTGGCCCAAATTCCAGTGCACATGTTGGAACGTGCAGAGGGGAACTTCATAAAACGGTGGCCACCACCTTCAAGATATTTTGTTTAAAACTACACGATTTAAAACTTTAAAGTATGTTCTTTCATTAGCTAAACATAAATTTTGTCTATCAGCAATAATTTATCTTTTATTTGCCTTAAAAAAAAGGTAGTTTCTGCACCCCACCCTGTATAACAATATAGGAATGTACATAAACATTATTTAAGTAATGAATACAGGCAACAACAGAAAACTGCCATTTCTATGCGACAGCCGATGCACACCTTCTCCCTTAAGAATGTGACAACAGTAGGGAATCCACTGTTACGAAATACACGCTGTGGCTGGTTAACTAGGTTATGCAACTATTCTGAATGGAAGAGGTTTTCTATGCAGTCCATGCCACAGCTATATGATGAGTTGTGAGCTGGAAGATTACAGCAAATTGGAACTAGCCGTTATGTGTCAGTTCTCAGTAGGAGATAGTCACGGGAAGTTCATAGTCGAAGAAGAATTAGAAGTTCTCTGAAGACTTAACGTGCGATTTGAACACTTTGTGCGTGCTGTAGTGCAGTGATATCTGGAGCATGACAGTTATAATTCCTGTATTAAAATCCGTTGCCAGGAAACGGATAGGGAAAACTCTGCAGAGGAATAGCCACTGTCAAAACCTGTTACCTAGCAATGACTAGTGCAAGCAAATATAGAAGACTTCATTCTGTGTGCTATAATTACAGTAATCTGGAGAGTGTTATAAATTGCATTTAAAACTAGTGAATATCCAGTAAATCAAATCACCAATCCAAACCCGCATCTTTAGTCACTAATACACGACAATATAATCATGTCTGTGCATCCCACCCCAGTAACTTCTGAACGAATTAAAGGATTTCTATGAAACTTTGTGTGAAATCATGCCACTAGATATCAGTATCAATACTGGCTATTCTAATTTCTTATCTTCATACAAAAATTGCACCACTGCAAACTACTGTCACAATGAGCTCTCTTAACATAGGATCACACAACTCTGGGTGGTAATATATCTTTGAATAATATGCAACTTTTTGTCATTGTACAGCCACATTGTAGCTGAATAGACTTTCTGCAGTATTTAGTTTTCAGTTTAACAGCAATAACTGGTGAGCCAGTAGAGCTAGGCATGTGAAATTTAGTATGAAGATACATCATAAACACTGATACACAAATGCTGCATCTTACATTTTTCATATCTTAACTGCGAAAATGGTGAAACTTTAATAATATTCTGTCAGCATATATAATATAGTAAGATCTGTCCTTGTAAAAGTAGATATAGAAAAGGCTCAGTAAGATGTACAATTACATAATAATTTATAGTTCTTCCTAGCGCATCCTATTTTATCCATAACAGTATACCTAAATATGGTTTTGCAAATGAATGTTTCAAATTGCTAAACATGTTATATGGGTATGTTCAAAACAAATACTACCAGTTTCACAATTCTGCTGTGAATTGGGATAAAGTTTGAAGGGTGTACTCCATGAAATAGTACAGGTAGTACTTTGTAGACCTGGCCTCTGGGTTGCACATGAGAAGAAGCATGGCAAGAAGTAGCAGGGCAGTGGCTGCACTGTGGAAGGGAGGTAAGGAGGGTGACATAAAAAACAATGTTCCTAGCAATGATGGGGCATATACAGACAGCAAAGTGACCTCATAAGCCTTTTATTTTTTTAAATAAAGAAGGTAGACCAAAAAGGCCCTGTTATAATCAATACATAGTGTAAAATCCTTGTCTCACGCATTGGACTTGACCACACTGACTGTGCCTTCTGTTGAGAACAGCTATGCCTAAGAATATGGGCACTACACATAATTCCTGTTTGGGTAAAGTCTTCTGAATTGCTGCACTGTGTAATCTCATACGCAGTTACCATAGTTTCAGAGAAGTCTGCTCCCTTCATCTCCCTGAAGATACAGGCAGCAGGTTTCCCCAAAACTTCAGTAACCTACCTACCAGACATGCTGTCATAACTCACAGATCTCAATCCATATACTTCACACAGCTCACTGTTAAGGATGAGCAGCTATAAAATAACCAGACTGATTTTTTGCCAACTCCCTGTAGCCTAGACAACAGTGTGCAGGGTGGCATATTAGCCTGTCTTCTCCCCTCCATCAACCCTACCACTTCCAAGGCCATACAGCCAATAATGTGGTAGCAGCCGTGTACCTCAGCTCTGTCGGAATTATGTTACATCTTAAAGTAGAGCAATGTGTCAATGTGAAATTCCTTGCAAAACTTGAAGAATCCACTGCAGAAACGTATAATTTGTTGATGGAAGTTTATGGTGATGAATGTCTATCTTGTACTCAAAGTTTTTGAGTGGTTCAAAAGATTTAAAGAGGGAAGGGGAGAGATCAAAGACGATCTGTGTCCTGGTCAGCCTTGCACACCAGAAACAGATGCTAACATTGAAAAGGTCGGTGAAATTGTTTGAAAAAACTCGTTGCCTGAGCATTCAAGCAGTTGCTGAATTAGCTAACATTGATAAAGAAAGTGTTCGAGAGATTTTACATGAACATTTTAACATGAAAAAAGTGTGCTCGAAGATTGTGCCAAGAAACTTTACTTCTGAGCAAAAGGAAACTTGAATTAAAATTTGTGCTGACATCCTTCAAAACACTGAAAATGATCCAAACTTTTTAGGAAATGTAATAGTTTGTGACGAATCATGCTTTTTTTTTTCAGTATGACCCGGAAGCTAAGTACCAATCCACACATTGGAAGAGTCCCAGGTCAACAAGAAAAAAAAAGCACAGAAAAACGAGTCAAATTTCAAAGCAGTGATGATCGTTTTTCTCGATATCCGAGGGATTGTTCACATTGACTGGGTGCCTGAAGATCAGACTACTATAAGGAGTATTTTGACAACCTTTCATGAACAGGTGAGAAGAAAAAGACCTGAAATGTGGAAGAACGACTGATGGATTCTTCACCATGATGTGCCAGCACACAATGCACTGTCTGTCAAGATGTTTCTGGCAAAGCACAAGATTCCCATGTTGGAACATCCACTTGCCTGATCTAGCCCTGTGTGACTTCTTTTATTTCCAAAAATCAAGTCTGCATTAAAAGGAATCCATTTTGAGTCCACAGATGCAGTTAAGGCAAAAGGGACGGAGGTAATGAAGAAGCTATCAGAAAAAGATAGATCATAGATCATAGAAAAAGATCATAGCTTCCAACAGTGGAAAATTTGCATGGAATGGTGTAGGAGTCAGGGAGGGGACTGCTTTGAAGGTGATAAACATTTCCATTGTGTGATTGATTGAATAACAGATTTTAGAGCATCAGTCCAGCTATTTTATAACTGCCCTATGTAGTCATCCTCCAACTGCCCTATGTGGACAAAATGGTGCTGGGGCACTAAAATCAATGCTTTACGTCAGCTGCAGCCCCTCTGCACTCCCAATATCTCTGAGAATTGTAAAGTTCTAATTTTTCTATGCACATACCTCTGTTCTAACTTCAAGAACTTGTTTGAATTCTGTAGACATGGATGCAAGCTTGGACTGTAAAGTGAGAACAACGTTCGACGAATGTGACAAAAGATGGTGACCATTCTGTTGTGACTGTCTCTGGTTCCGTGCTACTTCTTGAAGTTTTGCAATCTGCAGGTTTAGGCTATTTAAATCCTCCTTTATTATGTACGTCAGTTCCTGTATTTCAGCTGGCCGGTCATTGAAAAGTGATTTTCTCTTTGCCACTGAAATTAAAATACTTCATATGGTTGGCCTGAAGAGAAACACATATGTTGAAGAGGTAGTTCTTTATTTTATAATTAAGGTTCTCACAGTGGTGAATACAAAGAGTACTGCTTCTGTGATGTGAGATAGCACAATCACATAGACATTTACCAGAATTTCACAGGAATGTATTGCCTCCATCTTCAGAGTTGAAGGGTATGTCAAGCAAGCAGCAAGTTGCATGTAGTACCATATCCCAGGAGAAACTGTTCTTCAATTTCTGTATTTGTTTAACAATGCTTTATCAACTGAATGGCAGATTATGAATGACAAATTTTGAAAGCTGTGGAAGGGAGCAGCGGTGACATATTTTATTCTACATTTGCCTTGTGACTGGAGAACCTTAAAAAATAAAAAAACTTTAGTCAAGATATCGAGTCTCTGGGACAAGGAGTGAATCCCAGATAAACTATGATAAATTTCTCTCATTTCAGATGTTACTCACGTGTGTAAAGTGGCTCATATAGGCTTACTGTGTTGTTAAACATTTTTTAAAATAACTGCATATGTGAGGTCAAGGATCTAAAAAGTTGAACCCCAACACCCCACTTAATAGTTTAAAAAATGTTATTCTGAAACTCAGAGCCCTCCTATACTCAGAAGGTGAAAGGAAAACTAAACAGGGATACCAATTATATAAGATCTGAGGTTTTCATGGCGGCACCTATAAAGAATGCCATCTTCTGGGATGTGGTGCCATGCAGATCTTGTGTGAACTGACATCTCGGAGGAATGTATGGCCTGCAGCCACCTGTTCATGCTGGTTCCTTACTTGCGGATTTTTCTACCCTTAAGATGGAAGCGATACACACCTCCAAAACATTGGTTCACACAAGATCTACAAGGAACCACATCCCAGAGGAGAGCATTCTAAAGGGATACCAATTCACTAAAAGCTGTAAGAACAAAATACCAAGTCTGAACTAGTAAAGTCTAAACATAGTGAACATTTTTATAAATATGTATATGGTGCAGAAAAGAAACTAAATGAGGTCTTGCACCTTTGTGTTAAGCACTTAAGGTTTAATTGTTAACTGTTACCCATAAAAATATTTACATACTAGTATAAGGCCCATTGTCATTTCAACAAGATGCTGTTGAGCATAAATTCACTGTCAAGACAACTGTGAATGTGCAATATTTTTATAAATATCTAAAAAAATACTCAACCTCAATAAAGCAGTTCATAATTCACTTTAATACCAAATACACAAATGTGATCTACATGCATACTGAAGTACTAGAATTACTGCAATATTGAGAACTCGAGCATGCCTTCCACTGCCACTTATTGCTACAATCTTCTGTTCCTACTCAAACTGCTACTAACTCCTGGCATACATAACACAACAGTGAGCATTTATTCTCATTCTCATCTTCTGGTACTATTGATAAATGCATGCTAACATACAAATCTGATCAATGCATGAAAGTACAGTACATTTTCCTTGTTGCTGGATTGGATATGGAATCTGCAGAATTGGCCACAGTAATCACCAGTTCTCAACAGCAGTGAGTGCCATGAAAAATCTTGTTTCCAAATGCAAGGTACATGAATGTTAAGACTCAATCTGTAACACTGTCACTGTGGTCACATACCTCAGTGACTTAGTAACTCTTCATCCTGCTATGCATTCTGTTGTGAAATGGGCAAGGGCAAGACTGTGTTACCAAAACCAGAGGAAGACACTTTCAACCCGTTACAGCAATCAAAATTCAGGGCATGCAAAATCATATAACTTCTTGTTACAACATGTCATATTCAAATCATCTAACTTTCCCTACCTATAGTTCTGTACTACTGAAACATGTATGCATGTTGATAAACATTTTTCACTCAGAATGGCCTCAGGAATAATTTCCTGAAGTTACAACATAAAGTGATGGCCATGCCACAGATCAAGTGGTTAGTCGCTGGCTTCCCACCGTGGCGGCCCGGGTGCGATCCCAGGTCTGGTCAAGTGGGATTTGTGGTGGACAAAATGGTGCTGGGGCGGGTTTTCTCCGAATACTTTGGTTTCCCCCTGCCATTCTTCATTCCACCAAATTCTCCATCATCATAATCACCCAGGGCAGATACAATAGGCCAATCAGTGGCCGCCGTGCCGAGGGGACCCAGATGGACTCCAACGCCCACTAAGCGAATTTAAAAATTTTACAACATAAAGTCATGAAACACCCTGTATGAGGAAGAGTTATACTAAGCTTAGTCTTGCTCTGTAATGGATATTGTGCAGTGGCTTGCAGATTTATGCTGTATTTCTGTAGTCCTGATCATAAATTGGCCATGAACTTAACATTGATTTTAAGAGCTCTCTGACAACTTACATAAAGTGAGTTTTTCCAGTTTTGTGTATGTACTGCCTATATTCTTCCCTATAGTTCTGAAAAAAAAAATTAAATATTTATATAAGTAAATACAAATATAATACCCAATATCAAAAGAAGAAAGAAATGAATTCTTATAGGCAATTAATGTTGCAAAAGTATGACATTTTGAAAAGATTACTATATAGATTATCCTCAATCTTGTAAGACTCCCTTACTTCCAACGGCTTTCTTTACGCACTACATCTAATAATTTGCAGTTAAAATTAATTTTGAAGACACTGTAATCACTCATTAAAAGCATACTGTTTTGGTTGAAAAAACTAAATTCTTATTTTCATACAATAAACATAAAAATTGGATTATTGTGCAGCAAATACAAATACTATCCTAATTCAGTGGAAGGTTTGGAGGTTATACAGATTGGAACAGTTTTTATTTTAACTAGCACAGCCATTCTTACGTAAGTTTAATGCTGCTAGAATGAGCAACTGCAACCTGTATGTATCATACTCTACCTTGCAATCATCATAAATTCCGCATAACTCTGAATATATTTAGCTTTCCTGGGATCTCTTACAGCCATTGTCCTCTTGATATGACGTCCTTGCAAGGAACGGATGGCATTAACAAATTCTGTGGTCCTGTCTCGTGATGTCATTGTTCCTATAATGATGTTTTCTCTTTTCACAGGTATTATGTCCTCTATACTGTATCGCTGGGATTCTGCTGCTTTATTGGCATGGTGATGTGCTTGGGTTTGTTGGGACCAAGAGTCCTGCAGAGAATAGGATACCCCACTTGCAAGGATAAGGGGTGCCTGTTCTGACTCTGATCCACCACGTCGTCTCCTTGCTGTCATTTGATCATGGACACCGTGCAATTCTGAAATCTTTTATCATGGCTTTAGGTATACTGTCAATAAAACTTACCTACCACTAAAACCTAATTAACTGTTACTGCTACAATATGCAATCCAAAAGCTCTTGCCTGTCTAGCATACGGCAACCCTTGATTTAGTCTTGGTAAGTTAACACGTCAACATATACTGAAACTGATATATAATTTTAAATATGTTGAAATGAAAACGAAACCACGTTTAAAATAAAAAACTACTAGAAGCATCATGAGTCCTGACAAAATTCACATCTGAAACCAGTACTGGCAAATATTACTACATCCGACACAGTTTGTTCCTATAATTTTGCTATTATGATAACAAAAGCAAATTGAAAGTCAAACCTTCCTAAACTGTCGTTTGCCAATTGCAGACGTTGACGATACATTCACTACGTCACCATATAACAGCTGACATTTTCAACCATGGCCGTCTATAATCGTCCGTGATCTGTGTACGTCTTAGCTCTCACGGAAGATAATCCAGTCCGATCCAGTCTGTCAAGAGCGTCAAGAGTTGTCAGAGCGGGTCAGAGCTACTTTACGATTGGCAGTTTAACGCCAATCAGTTCATCTCTGGCGGTCTTAGGGCCAAGTCGCCTGAGATTCACGACCAGATTTTTTTTCTCAGCAGAACTGTTGCTGTAATAGTCCCTATGTAACATATCTGACGAGATTATGGGTTTATCTCTTATGAGTATGCTTCGTCTGCGTCAAGTATACGTATCGCACATATAACATACACAGTCTACGTGATTACGGGAATGCGTTCCTTCCCCGGAAACCAGACTGTGACATTGGTGAACGTTATTATATCGGATGAGAGGCATGAGCTTTGGGTCGTGGTTTGAGGCACTTTGGTTGTTATGTGCTACTACGGTTATGTGTGTAACAACAGAATTTCTCCATTGTTATGTATGTGAATATACATAAAAGGCTTTTATATATCAAATGTTAATCTTAATGACAGACCCGACCTCTCGTCAGAGAGGGCGCCCCAAATGGACAGGAGAGCAACTTTCACGCAGATGAAAACATCTGGGGCTCGACACCAAGACAGAGACTGACTGACCGTCAGATGCAACATGACTTTGACTTTGACTTTGATGTTAGTCTTAATAAAGCAGGGTTAGATTGAACACATTCGATCCACGTAGAAGTGACATTAACACATTGAAGTTACTAGAGGTATTTACAACATTGTACTTGCAGCGAGAGGGAAATTTGAAAACAACTTTCTACGATTTGGCAACATTGGACTGTCCTAGAACCCAGCAGTGGACTAATTTTGAATCGTGCAGTTGATTTTTGGTTTTAGCGTTAGCGCCAAATTCTGTAGTATCCCAGCTCGTATTTATTGCAGAGTAGTGACGTATAAATAAAGGTGAATAATCAATAATCCTATACGCACGTGTAAGAAAATGTTTAAGATTAAATGGAATATTTCATTTTGCATTTAAATTACCATATCAGCATAACTGCATTAGTCATTGTGTTGCAATCGCAGGATTTGAAACAGCACTAAATGTAATAATTTACCATGAATAATGCAGTGTATTTNAGAGCGTCAAGAGTTGTCAGAGCGGGTCAGAGCTACTTTACGATTGGCAGTTTAACGCCAATCAGTTCATCTCTGGCGGTCTTAGGGCCAAGTCGCCTGAGATTCACGACCAGATTTTTTTTCTCAGCAGAACTGTTGCTGTAATAGTCCCTATGTAACATATCTGACGAGATTATGGGTTTATCTCTTATGAGTATGCTTCGTCTGCGTCAAGTATACGTATCGCACATATAACATACACAGTCTACGTGGTTACGGGAATGCGTTCCTTCCCCGGAAACCAGACTGTGACATTGGTGAACGTTATTATATCGGATGTGAGGCATGAGCTTTGGGTCGTGGTTTGAGGCACTTTGGTTGTTATGTGCTACTACGGTTATGTGTGTAACAACAGAATTTCTCCATTGTTATGTATGTGAATATACATAAAAGGCTTTTATATATCAAATGTTAATCTTAATGACAGACCCGACCTCTCGTCAGAGAGGGCGCCCCAAATGGACAGGAGAGCAACTTTCACGCAGATGAAAACATCTGGGGCTCGACACCAAGACAGAGACTGACTGACCGTCAGATGCAACATGACTTTGACTTTGACTTTGATGTTAGTCTTAATAAAGCAGGGTTAGATTGAACACATTCGATCCACGTAGAAGTGACATTAACACATTGAAGTTACTAGAGGTATTTACAACATTGTACTTGCAGCGAGAGGGAAATTTGAAAACAACTTTCTACGATTTGGCAACATTGGACTGTCCTAGAACCCAGCAGTGGACTAATTTTGAATCGTGCAGTTGATTTTTGGTTTTAGCGTTAGCGCCAAATTCTGTAGTATCCCAGCTCGTATTTATTGCAGAGTAGTGACGTATAAATAAAGGTGAATAATCAATAATCCTATACGCACGTGTAAGAAAATGTTTAAGATTAAATGGAATATTTCATTTTGCATTTAAATTACCATATCAGCATAACTGCATTAGTCATTGTGTTGCAATCGCAGGATTTGAAACAGCACTAAATGTAATAATTTACCATGAATAATGCAGTGTATTTATTAATATAGTTTTTTTAAGGGACGATGTCAAGTACATCACAGAAACACAGGAATTTTGTGGCCGAGCCGATGGGCGAGAAACCAGTGACAGAACTGGCTGGAGTTGGAGAAGTTCTTGGCAGTCGTTTGGAATCTCAAGGATTTGACAAGGTTTGTACACACTAGTTGATGTTCTCATAGATCAACGCACTAAGAATTGGAAAGCATGTAGAAGCACAAGAAACTTTGTGAATATGAGATAGAGGTTCTTATTGTAGGGGCTATGAAAAGTACCATTTTCTGGGATGGGATGCTGTGTAGTTTGGGAGATAATTACCAGCGTTTCGGGAGAATTATCCTCCTCCATATTCAGACTATGAGATATGACATCCTGGAAGGATGTGATATTTGTGTTTAATGTTTTATCCTAGACAACTAGTTTCCAGAGCAAGAATGTAACAGATTTACCATAAGAGCATATTTAAGAGGATGAAGGACAGAATTGATGCAGGTTGAGGAGACATTGCATCATCATCACTGGCATGACGGCCCTATGTGAGCCTTGGCCTTCCTCAGGATTGCTCGCCATTCTTCTCTATTCGATGCTACATTCCTCCAGTTATTTACACCCAAAACATTGCATAACTGATGCAAATTTCTAATGTGTGAATAGTGTGGAATTGGCATATTTCCTCCCTGCACTGTTAAAGCTCCAGCCCCGGACCAGTGGTTCAAAGGATTTTTCATAAGGTCCTCAGAATACTTGAGCACAGGAACATAAAAGTTTGCTATGCAAAGGGATCAGAACTAAGTTTTGAGGATTCTGCATAACAATCGTTTATCATTTATGTTTCTTGGGTTGCTAGTAAATCTCAAAATGGGGCATAGAAATGCAACAGATTTTCCAGATTCATGCTGTTGCTGCTCATATCCAAGTTAAATTTAATTAATTTGATTATGAAATTAATTATTCATGGATTTCATACCACCTTGAAATGTTCATTTCCTACCACAGAGTATGAGAATGAAAAGTAATGTGAACTAATCTAATCTAACCTCTCATGTTTTAATTATCTAGTAATATTTATGAGCATGTGTGGAGGTAGTTGGTGAGTTAACACTTTGTTCTAGACTGTAATTATAGTGAAGCTATGGAAATATTGTGCCTCATATTCCCAACAGTGTAGGGAAACTTGGCGACAATAAGTCACAGTCCTAAAACCAGCTTTTAGTTTAGCACTTGCAATTGGAATTCTTTAATCTCCTCCTTCCAGTCAGTTGACGGAAGCATAATAAAAAAATTAAATCCCTTATTCTGTGTGCTTCTGAAGAATAGGTGCTCATTATGTTTGTGTGCCATATTATTGGTAATTCTTGTAAGATGGCCCTCTGGGGCCGTGCCATAGCTCAAGCGGTTAGTCAGTGGCTTCCCACTGCGGTGGCCCAGGTTTGATACCGGTTCTGGTCAAGTGGGATTTGTGGTGGACAAAGTGGCGCTGGGGCAGGTTTTCTCCGAGTACTTCGGTTTCCCCTGCCAATCTTCATTCATTCATTTCCTTTATTTTCCATATATCCATACAGGCAAAAATCCTAGGATGTGGAAATAGTCCATTTGATTATAGATGTATACATGTAATAGATTACATAAGTCACACAACTAAAATAACACACCAGTTAACTAACACAGGCCATTCCACCAATTGCTCCACAATCACCCTCACCTATCATCTGGGGCTGGTGCAATAGGCTAGAAGTGGCCACAGTACAAGGGACTTAGTCCCAGCCCACTAGCATTAAAGAAAATGGCCTTCAGATCCATTTATACTTTAATCTTCTAAAAGCCATGAGTGGCCATTGTTTACATTGTTAACAGCAACACTCCAGACTTGTATTTTAGAGGTGCTCACTTCAAAGCTTGCCCAGCACATTTGATATCCTGACAGGTTTATTTGTGGTTTTCCTCATTCCATCCAGGTAAATGCTGGGGCATTTCCTTGATTAGGCCACAACTGCCTTTTCCCAAATCTTTCCCAGTTCATTACTCACCGGTCATTTTATGATTCAGTGCTATATAGTCTGAGATTTTGACAGTGCCATAAAAAAAGAACCCATAAAATGTATTAGAAAGATGTGTGGAACTTGTTTTCAAAATTGCTTGTGCTTGAAATTATTAAACCATGAAAAAAGGGGAAAAGTCTGATATGAGAATGTAGCAGTTTGAATCTTTTTTTTTTGGATACAAAGACTTAACACAAACCACCCAACATTTATAGTTGTCATTCTCAGATACTTAACTACTCAGTTCTCAAGGAATTTATTACCAGTTGTCAGATTTATCTGGAAATCTGGTTATGAAACATAACTATAAGTGATTTTTTCCCTTGTATTTTTAGAAGCAGTAGTATTCATTTCTTGTTAGAAAGTACAGTTCCCAATGCTTGCCTGACTAATAGTTTACAATTTCATTGTCAGATCTATGCTAGCTGTCAAAACATTGATGTCTGCTGTTCCGTGCATTCAGCAGCTTGTTGTACAGGCCGTAAAATGAGTTACCAAACTGACAAGAGAGCAGTAGTTAATGCTCTTGGAACACTTGTGTCTTTAGAATAGTCTCTAGTTGCAGCTTTAAAGCAATATATTGTTATAGTATTTGATATGTTGTTTTTTTTTTTGCAGGCATCCGTTGTTTTGGGACAGTTTTTAGTACTGAAGAAGAACAAAGAACTGTTTCAAGATTGGATG